ACGTAATCTTCCTTACTACTCAGACTCCTACTCCTAAAACCAAGACATTTTCAAAATGTTAAAAGTTTATTAGCTACTTATAATTTCAAAGTCTATATAAAGGCCTAAATCTTTGATCTGTATGTACTATGTAATAATATATGAACGGATAAAAGGGTCAGGGTTATGTCATATGTGAAACTTCAACTTTTTACTTGATCTACTATACTCGCTCAATAATGTACTATATATTAAAAATAACTGATCAGAGTGTAACGTTGTAATATAATATTACAGTTGTTCGGAAGAATGCGAGCAGTCGACTGATCCGCTGTCCTAAAAGAGTTTGTTCCGAGAGCAATTATATTTATAGCATGTAGCGAAATTTTGTACTTTAATCAGCACGTGCCAGACAGTACAGGAGACAAGAAGTCTGGGTTTTATGGCCGTTCCGATTGGAGCTAGTAGTAGTAGCTCCTATCATAACGGTGCCGTGGGAACCGAATTCCCGCCAAAAATACCCGGGCTACCAAATACTGATAGGAGTGTACGGTGTGTTTTGAGTTTGACTTACCTAGTTGTCATCCTAATTGTATTATCATCGGTACATACCATGAATAAACTACTGGTAAAATTAAATACCATTAAGTGCAAACGTGTTCAGTCAATCGACCCACTGAACAACTATAGAATTTTCAAGACCCTATTATTCTTTGGCCATATATTACGGCACGATTGATTCTGAGATGGCTAAACGACAAACGTTAATCTAAACAGTGCTATGAGCTAGCACTTTAGTTTAAGAATACACTTTTTATATTACTCCTGATTTTTACATTTCACGTAAAACATTGTCGCCATAGGTTGATCATGAACACTAACAGCTTAATTTTAGATAAATAGATGCCGGTTAATTGCGTTATTTTTATTGTCTTACTCTAAAGTTGTGTATTATGTCCATTTTCTACCTGTAAAATACAGTCTCGCGAGTCGCGAGCTCCTCTGCGCGCGCCAGGGACGTCATCACCAAAATAATACAAACGCTATTTACACGCGTTAGAGAGCAATTAGAGATTTAGGAATTTCGACTCGTTGCTCAGTTTGCTATATGTCACAATCTGTCAAAATATGAGGATCACTTTTTTTGAGTTAACTGGTCCTTTCACCAAAATTCAAAATTCTATCGAAATTGACTTTATAGTTGTTTCTGATAGGGGGGAGTGATATCTATCAGCTGCTTTTGATCCCATGGTAAAATATTGCCCCTTGCCGAAATTATCGCCGGTCGAACCGAATTTTGAGATATGCCTTTAAAAATTGTTTATTCGATTTTGAAAATCTTGAACCTTGTTTTTTGAAGATTTTTTGAGGTCCAAGATTTTCAAAATCAAATAAAAATTTAAGACATATCTCAATATTGGGCTTGAGTCAAATCTTCTAAATGATCCTTAGAACATATCCTGAACTTTTGAGGGTGATTGCTCTAAAAATGTAGGAGGAGATAGATTTTTAGACTCGATTTTCAGAACGCGTGATTGAAAATCGCTCACGCAATACAATTACACATAAGCGCTGACCTTTGACAGGCGATAATTTCGGCTAGGAACAATATTTTTCCATGAGACCAGAAACAACTGATAGATATCACTCCCCTCTATCAGAAACAACTATGAAGTCAATTTCGAGATAATTTTGATGAAGACCCCCCGGCCTCATTAACACTCCTCACTGTTGTTAATGTTCACATTCTCAGATACACGCCCAACACAAAGGTAGGACAGGAGTACTTTATAAAACTCAGATACCTGGTGGAAGAGACGTATGAACTGAACGGGAACACACCGGTTATGTTGGTGGCTCACAGTATGGGTAATCCTTATATCGTCAACTTCCTTACTAAGCAGGATCAGGTTAGTTATCAGCTGTGAAGTGCTAACCTGCAGTCTTTTCAGCCAAGCCCTTTTTGAAATGGCTGGGGATACACGTCATATTTATGATATTTTGAATAAAACAAAATATGTGACCCTTTTCAAGATCTTTTCCCTGTGTAGTAGTTACTAGTTATATATATAATGTGATTGTTGAACAATAGACCGGACTGCCCCATGTCGCCTGGGAAGTTGCCAGGCACACTGTCAAGGGCTTCCTTTATATCATTTTGAATACTACAAGGTATTTTCAATAATGCTTGTGCTAAGACCCTTTTATCAAACTTTGTAGTGCAAAGTCTTCAAATTTGAATAATACCCGTTACTTTACATAATGGACGGTTTGAAATCTTTTTATCTAACTTTGAAGGCTCAGAATCTGTTTGATCGTGAACAATGACAAATGGAGCGGACCATGTCACGTGGAAAGACTCAAACACACGTGACACCTGCAAACTATATTTAGACTTTAGCACTGCAATAAATATTTTAGAACCCCATTTTTAAAACTTTAAATACTATTTTCGTGAACTTAAATGTCGTACAAGAAACTTGCAATCGTTGCAACAGCTATAATAAGCCTACTCTCTGTCGTATACACTTTGAAGAGAAACCACAACTGTGTCACACACAACGTTGTCATAAAGTCGGAGCCGTTCATGCAGTTTAATGTTACTCCCGGAAACGAATGCCAGGAATACTGCAAGTATGAAGCCGAATGTGAGACGTTCTCGTTCAACCTAGATCGGCCGTCTGAGTGCTCTTTGTACCGGGAAGAGGGGAGCAGCCTGATCTACGAGACCGACAATGCATCCCATTTTATATTCAGGCTGAAAGACTGTGATGATCCACTTTCAGAGTTGTCCGAGATAAACATGACCGAACAGGATAGGTTAAACGCAGAAAAGTCTTTCACGGTTTTCCAGAGGAGCGATTCATACAGGTGTGTGGAGGTAAACTTCACGGAAACCGAACAATCCGCCTCCCTTGGATATCAGCTGTACTGGAGTTCAGCCTGCGAGACAGCGCAGCAGTGGGAAGTTATCCTGGTTGAGGAGGGTGTGTCAGGTTATTTTGGGTGTGACGTGGTGAAGGTGAAGATGGACCAAGGGAACATGTGCTTCTCAGCCGTGCAGATAGATAGGAGCATAACCCATTCGATATCCCGTACAGTATTCTTACAGGCTTGTGCAAATGGTAGTGAGAATGGAAGTGACCTCAGTCAGAAGCTTCTCATGTGCCTAGAACTGAATGGTGCATGGTCACTCAGACGCCGTGAAGCCTTTTTTCCTCTCATTCTACCCGACAGTACTTCCCTCAACTGGCTGAACAGAATATCATTGTCCTCCATCGATAATATAACTGGCAACGATCTTGAAAAGCTTCAAAATTTCCCTTGCAAGGAGATCAGTGTGACAGAAGGGAGTATTTTGCATGGGGAGAAAGTTCCATTTTTCCTACCAGGAGAGATCATCACAGTTACTTGCAACAAAGGGTTTGGAGTGAAGGTAGCCCCAGGAATATACGACCAAGAATTCACGACAAATTGCTCAAGCTCCAGGACCCCGTTAGTGTGTCAGTCATTGCCAGGAGGGGTCTTTGTGTCATTGGCACAGACTTCTCCAAATATGGTACAGAATGTTTCTGATCAGGTACAGAGGGATTTAAAAAGCTCTGAAACTTCTATGACCGTGGCATTGTTGGTGCTCCTAGCAATTCTTTCCATCTTTCTGATGAGCCTTTGATAACGGTGGTCAAGAACATTTGGATTAGCTATATATTTAATGCTTTTATGACGCTTTAATTTCGAACGTTTGAATGATTTTTAATTGCAACTGTTTCATAACTGAGTTGGTGATCTCTGGGTAATATAGTAATAGTATTCGATAGGGGGGGGGGAGGGCAACAAACTAGGACCAGTGACCGAACTTTTGAGGGGGTCCCGGACCCCAACTGCCAAACCCAGGTTTATGGTGCTCTACTTGTAGCTAGTGGTCTCCTGAACTCGTATATGCAATTTCATCAAGATTGGACAAAAAATGACTGAGTTATGAGCCAAAAACCATATGCCCATATTTGGGCATACGCACCAAATTTGGTAGATTTCGTCCCATAAATTGGTCAAATATCAATATTTTTGAATGAAACTTACTTTATATGAAAGGTAAGCCTAAACTACATATTCGCTGTAAGTTATAGCTTTATATCTGTTTAAATGTGGATACTATGGCGAAAAAACCACAAAAAATGAACTAAATTGCCCGTATCTTGGTTCGCGATATTCGCGGAATTGATCTCATTAAAACTGTAACAACTCAATCAGTTTTGATAATTTTTGCATGAAATTTTCGGAATCGACTCGAAATCGCATTTCGACCTTATTTTAAGAACAGATTTTTGATTTAGGCCTCAAAAAAAATTTGGCGGCCAAATTCTGAATTTCTGTAATAAAATTTTGGAATTTGGCCGCCAAATTTTGTTGGAGGCCTAAATCAAAAATCTATGCCACCAGTACTGAGAGGCTCTCCAGTGAGCGGTATAAATCCCACCAGTACAGCTGAGAGGCTCTCCAGTGAGCGGTCTGCGGTATAAATTCCACCAGTACTGAGAGGCTCTCCAGTGAGCGGTATAAATCCCACCAGTACTGAGAGGCTCTCCAGTGAGCGGTATAAATCCCACCAGTACTGAGAGGCTCTCCAGTGAGCGGTATAAATCCCACCAGTACTGAGAGGCTCTCCAGTGAGCGGTATAAATGCCACCAGTACTTAAAGGCTTTCCAGTGAGCGGTATAAATGCCACCAGTACTGAGAGACTCTCCAGTGAGCGGTATAAATGCCACCAGTACTGAGAGGCTCTCCAGTGAGCGGTATAAATCTCACCAGTACTGAGAGGCTCTCCAGTGGAACTACCAGTTCAGAAGAGAGTTGTTACGGCAAGTAGTTGAGGCTAAGGTAGATAGGGCAGTATTAGCCGAGAAAAAAATACTGAGAAATCAACCAAAACATCGAAACAATGCATACTTAACAAAGAATCGATTAGTTTATATTTAAGTCACAATTGTTATGGACTGTAAATTAACCCTGTAAGCTTCATTACTACAGTCTTGTTGATAGTAAAATCTAGAGAACGGTTAGTTTCCCCACATAACACAGTTTCCTAAATACAGTCTCGTCACGTGAGACAGATAATTGAAACTGCAATTAGGGCAGTTCAGCAGCATATTTGTTTTCTACCACAGTAGCTTGTACCCTGCCATCTTTCTCATCTTTTCGTCGTTGTACCTAAAACAGAATTTAAACTTTGAATGGGATTTTTATCTTGAAGTTATGCATATTGATGACACCGTGTAAAAATAGCGTATAAAAAAATCTGATCATAGGAAGAGTTATAATGAATACCAGATAAAATAATATGCTCACCTCGGCTGCAGTGCTAGGAGTAGGAACATCCTTAGTGTCCGGTAATCTGTAACAGAGCAGTCCAGCTGATGCAGCTAGTACTGCGAACAGTATCAGAGTTCCGGGCTTGTTCCAGGAGAACAACAGGGACGCTTGGGGACCACAGAACGATCCTGACGGAGAGTGTCACCATGAATTAAACTGTTATGAATATCTGCCACTTTGATAATATGGACAGAAAGCCTAGATTATATGAATATCAATTGCATCTCTAAATTAAACAAATATTTATTCTACAAGAACTTACCTATCCTTGCAGCAAAGGAGCTGTAACCCAGCATCTTGCCTCTGTGAGAAGTTGGAGCAAGCTCCATGGTGTACAAGTAGATACCACAGAAGGTGGCAGCTACAAACATACTTCCAATCAGACAGCTCAGCTGCTCTAATGAGAAGGAGGAACTCAGTTGTAAGGGGATAAGGGCCACCAGGAATGTTCCACTGGCTGAAATAATATGTTTATATTAGACAAGCAGTCCAGTTTTAACTGCAGGCATGATTTATAGTGGGTCTGCACTCTACATATCAAATCAACTTCAAGGAATAAGGATGAGTGAGAACTGAAAAAAAAGATTTAAAATAAGATCCGAATGATCACAATTAAAACTGCTCTCAGTTGAGTTCACTTACCGACTAAGTAATATATAATGATTGATATTCTCCTCCCCAAATACCTAAAAGGGAATCCCATACCCAAATATGCGATAATCTCTCCAACAGCCGCGAACAGGTAACTGATGTAGATGTTGTTACCCAACTCTGACCAGCTGAAGCTGAAGCCGTAGTAGAGGAAGCCTGCCACCAGCCACAACCACATCTGTATCCCCAGTTGGACTAGTAGTTCTCTGGAAGGTCTCTGGTTATTAGAGGATCAAAACTGGTGGTTATCAAGGGTAACATTTATCATTGAGATCTCATTAGTGTTTTCATTGGGGTAAACAGGAATCAGGATAGGTAAAGGGCGGTCAGAATTAATTATTGTCAGTTACAGAGTAGTATAAAAATGGCACGTGTGTAATGCAAGCAGTTTGCTGCTTTTGTTATTTGTTGCAAAAATCGATCCGGAAGATAATTTAATTACATACTAATATGATTTAGACAAAATGTTACCTACTTGTACTTCATAAAATCTTTCATCGCCTCTAAAAATGTTGGCTCTGGTGCTTGGGTCTTTTCGGCTGTCAACTCAACGTCGTTTAATATGACTGTATCAATATCAAAATCACTCCCATTGATCTTTGCCAACCATTTGAGACTCTCTTTTGCTTTTTCCTCGTCTCCTATCAAACAAGAATTATAAACATTATAAACATCTTTTGTTAAAACTTCTGAAAGACATATTATATAAATCTCCATCAACTACTCGGACATATTCAAGCTTTTTTCCACTTACTTTTATTGACGAGGAAGTACCTCGGAGAATCCGGCATCAATAACAGGGGAATAACAGCCAGCACAAACAATATTCCATCAACTGCTACCAGCCAGTGCCAACTGTGATATTATACATAAAGACATAAGGGGTCGTTCACATATTACGTAATCAGCCGAGGAGGGAGGGGGTTTTCATATGATTACGCTAGTGTAATTTTGACACAATAGCTATGTGTAAAACTGATTACGGAGGGGGGTTAAAAATTGTCCAAAAAATGATAACGTAGTATGTGAACGACCCCTAATAAGGTTAGGTTTATTTAGTGGAATAACAAGCTTGTGTTGTTACGCACGAAAATACTTGATATTATGTCAGTATCTTTGTTTATGAGATCTTCTGGCCCTCCAGCTCAACGATGATTGCAGAGCTGCTGGTGCACCTGATTGTCCAGATTTAACTATTTAAGATATAAAATGTAACTTACTCCTTGATGAAGTAGGCAAAGAAAGTGTTGACGAGATACCCTACTCCGAATGCCAACTGAACACCAACGTTGGCTTGAAGTCTGTATTTAGAGGCTGTGTACTCCAGCAATAATACAAAACCTCCTGTTGATCCAATGTAAACACCCGCTCCTGTTAATTTCAATTAGATCTAACCTAATTAAAGATCTTCTCGTGTTATTGTTATATTGATGCAATGCGGGTTATACTACCCAAAATGTTTTCATTTATTTTGGTAAAATAATTTGGAACCTTCAAAACTGTAACTATATAGTCGTATAGTGTAGTAACCTTGAAAGAAGCGGCATACAAACAAGAATTCTATTGAAGGAGAGAACGCAGCTATAAGGGTTGACACTGTAACAATACCGTAGCCTACCAAGGCCCCCAGCTTTCGACCGATCATATCAAACAAGTTCCTGAAAAAGAAGAATTAGTGGAGGGGGAATGGGCCAATTGAATTAGCTCCTCTGTGTTTAAAATTGCAGTCTGGGTGAATAGTGTTTACGATGAAAGACAGCAATAAACAGATGTTATTTGTGAAGGCTTCAATAATTTAATTTTCCAACCGACTGAATGTGAACTTACCCGCCTATAAAAGTCCCAAGAAGGGCCCCTCCGAAGAAGACCGATCCCAGCAGTGACCTGAGAAACTCTCCGCCGCAATGTAAATTCCAATCCACCGCAAACGATGACCGACCTTTCGTGTGCCAGTGGAAATCGGTGTCTAAGAGCAGCTCTTTTAGACCAGAGCTGGGGCCGCATAGGTTCTTTTTGTTGTATTGTTTAAGGTCTGCGATCAGAAAAAAATTTTTAATTAATATGAAAGTCAATGAGTAAAGAATGAACAGCTGATAATTATTTCATTTTTAAGTATCGAACTTGACTTATCCAATATACGTATATACACCTGAAAACCATGATCTAGTAAATAGTCTCAATTGTTGGTTCTAAAATACACGTACCAGGACAGTTAAGCTGATATTCTCCTTCCCCCTCAACAGATATGAACCTTACAGTTTGTACAGCATCTATCAGAGAGTAGACTTCTCCATCATCCAACTCAGAATTCAGATCAAACCTGACACCATTGCAGGTCAAAGTGGTTCTATCTTCAGAGGTTTTAGTTCCTGCAAACTGTAAGGTGCACTCCAGAGTGTCGAGGTCCATTATTTTACCTTTTATCTCCTTCTCACACAGTTCCTTTTTCTGATCATCACAACTAGAGTTTGAGGAGATGCTGATAACAAGATTCTCAGATTTTCTCTGTATGTTAATCGATCCTATATCGTTACCAGAGTGCCCGTGAAGATGTAGTGTAGCTTGTTTGGTATCAATGTTGGATACTGTAATCATACAACGGTCATCCAATTCAACCATTTTATTATCTGGCCATGCTTTGTAATCTGAAAAAAAAAGTCATTACGGGTATATGCCTCACAGAATGGCCAAAAAAAAGAAAGGTCTCTCAAAATCACAAAACACACTTTATTCCAGTTTTTATCTCATAAGAAGCTAAGTTGACACTCATATTTTTCTTCCCGGGGGTTGATTTAATCTCATAACAATTTTTTCTTTGAGAAAAATTGGCCGGAAAATCTTCCTCCAAAAAAACATGCCTCACAGAATGGCCAAATCTGAACTTCTATAATTTTGTTGATGGAGATACTTTTTAAATTTCTATCACCACACGTTGTTAGAAAACCTATTAAGGAATGGGGTAATAACCTAAAACTCACGAAAAAACTGAGCTGCGAAAAATTATTTCACAAACAAAAAAAAATGCCTCACAAAATGGCCAAAAAAAAATGAAAACGAGAAAATTTTATTTTTCTAAAACCTTTGGCTCTTGTTTCAGGCATGCTGCTGGTATAAATATGCCTTGTTAACACCCCCATATAGGTGAAATTTCTTAGAACTGAATAAAAAGGGCATAATTTCCTACACCAAAAATGGCCATTTTGTTCATATTCCCTGATTTCATGATTTATAACCTTCATTCGGCTGTAAAAACACTCCATCTGGGGTGTTATTGTATGATAAATAGCTTGTGAATACTTTAGACCATCAAAACTAACATGTCTACATCAATAAAAGGAGTTTTAAATTTTGGCCATTTTTTGAGGCATATTTTGGCCATTTTGTGAGGTGTGTAGCCATTTTAGCGTTTTTTTCTTCCTATATTGAACAATGTTCGTTTTTTTTAATGAATACTATTCGTTAAACATCTTCTGTCATACTGGTGCCAGAAGTTCTCACCAAAATGCAAACTTAGTTCAAAAATTTGAAAACAAATTTTGTGAGGCATATTTTGGCCATTTTGTGAGGCGTGTATCCATTTTAGCATTTTTTTCTTCCTACATTGAACAATGTTCGTTTTGTTTGATGAATACTATTCTTTGAACATCTTCTGTCATACTGGTGCCAGAAGTTCTCACCAAAATGCAAACTTAGTTCAAAAATTTGAAAACAAATTTTCAGTGCTCAAAATTTCTACATAAACAGTAATATTTATGCCAAAAAATGTGGTCCTAGTTAATGATTTCACCACAGGAAGTGTTGCCAGAAGACTTTTGTTTCATATGGTATCCACAAAACCTACCAGTCTTATACAACAAATTAGTTACAAAAACATTTACAAATTTGGCCATTCTGTGAGGCTAGCCATTCTGTGAGGCATATACCCGTACATCATTAATGTTGAGTCCCTAGATTCAACCTTATCCTTTAATAGTACAGTCAAATCCGTCTTTTTGTCGGACAAAATTTGCAACAAAGCGATTTTAACGGGATATGGTCGGGACAGGTTCCAGGAATCATTCCAGAAAAGTCCCAAAAAATCTGACTTGAGCAAAATCCACAATTACCACTTTTTTACCACCTTTTTACCACTTTGGTTTTCCGCAAACAAGTCACGTTCTGAATATCCTAGAAGATGCTAGTTTAAAGCAGTGTGTTAAGGAAACAAAGGAGAACAACTTTTTCTTTAACAACTTTTTCAAAAATAAATTATTTAATTAATTAATTAAATAATTAATAAATTTTCAAATATTTAAAAAATATATTTTCATAAAAAATGTTCACAATTAAATTACACGTACAATGAACTAATTTTCATAAAACTTTTGAAAATTTTCACTTTCAATATTTTGGACTTGTAAAATTTTCGAAATTTGTAAAGAATAACCACTTTTTACCACATTGGATCTCCGCTAATAAAACGACTTCTGAATGTCGTAGAAGGTTGTAGATTGAACCGATGTGTTAATAACATAAGAGAGAACAACTTTTATTCGCCAACCTTTGGATTAGATAATTAATTAATCAGTTAATCAATTATTTAACAAATATTCAAAAATTATAAAAATTATTTTCGATCAAAATATTTTAAAATTGCATAACACGAATAATTAACAATTTTTCATTAAATTGATTGGAAAATCGAAGCAGCACTTTATATAACCAATATATACTAGATACTTATGAGTCCTCAGCTGGCACATTGGTGCAATTGTCCTGACATTTGAGGCAGGTTGATCCACAATGTATTCCTGCTTTTCTGCATGAACAAGCATTGCCACAACCTGACTTTAAACAGTTGCAACTGATGTTTTGAATGAACGTGGTCGTTAAATACCATTTAGAAATCAAAATATCCTCCAAGTTTAGGGGGAGTGGGGGTGCCGTGAGTTAATACACATACGTTGAGTCTTGTAATCAACATAATCGTGTTTGCGAACATGCTGTTAACTGCACATTGCAATAGGCCATTACATTCGGAATATGATCTGAATTCTGAAAAGATATTGGCGCGAAACAGACTGAAAATGACGAAGTCATCAAGTAATTCGTTTATCTCGTTAGCGAAATTGATTGGGTAATCAATGATTACCTAATCGCTAATCATGCGACAGGGTGCTACGATACCGTAATTGGGCTTTGTGCACGATCCCTATAGTGGGAATCTAGTGCACTAAGCTACGGAGAAACAATACCCTAGCGTATGCACTCCTACTAAAGGCCCTTTATTATTACTTACTTACTTGGGTTGGGTTCCGAGCTAGAGTGCTACCAGGCCAAGAATGTCTTGCATATCCACCGCCAAGTAGTAGCGCGTCAGAGGCACGTGCCACCGGCCCACTCCAGCATTGAGTTCTTGTTCTGTCCAGTGTACCCAGGTGTTGAATGGTGGAGTGTCAGGGAATTCATTGAGGAAAGCATCAAGAGCAGGTTTGAAAGCGGTCAAGGTTAGGAGGGACTTGATGCTAGGAGGGACCACGTTGTACAGTACAGACTGCAGAGGCTCTAGAGGCAAAGGAGTTGAACCTCAGGTTATTGACACTAGTGTACTTGGAGGACCCTAGTGGTCGTATACACGTAGTTCCGTATCGTGAGGTCTCGCGGAAGTTGATGTTCATACTGTTTGGAGTAAGATTGTTATAGATCTTCCAAACTAGGATGATAGTGTATCTCTCACGACGCCTTTGAAGGGAGTACATAGACAGGCGACGGAGGTGTTCCCAGTAGTTGAGATTTCCAAGACCCTGGATTTTAGCAGTGAAGGATCGTTGAACTGCTTCGAGTTTAATAATTTCGCACTGCATGTGAGGAGACCACAGAGGACAGCAGTATTCCAGATGAGATCGTACGTAGGATTTGTACAGGAGCATCATGCTCGCTACATCTTACGAATAAGTTCTCTTCTGGGCTTAGGAATGGAGGATTGTGATGACACTTGGATGTTTCTGCTGTGCGAGGGAGCGTGCTTAGAGCATATGAACGCTACCTTGTCTTCAAACAATGTCCAAGCTGTATCCTGATCGTTGCTTGGGTCAGTGATAGAAGCCCAGTCTACTTCTACCAGTTCTGCATTAATGGCATCCCAGTATGCTGAGTTGAAGTTAATGTCATCAAGGAGGCAGGAGGGGGTGAAGACTGGCCGTTCCGGAGTCTGCGAGGGGAGGAGGAGTTCAGGATTGAGGAGAGTGCAGCTCACAATGTCATGATCTGATAACTCTGTCTTGGTAACAGAGATACTATGGATCGAGTCAGAGTCGTTTGAGAAAACGAGATCTAAGATGTTGTTCTTGCGAGTTGGCTCGAGGACTTCTTGTTGGAGCAGGCATTCTTCATTGAAGTTCAGAAGTGCTAGGGCTGATTGTCGGTCTGAAAGGGAAATACTGCATCCTGAGTCGATAGAAGAATTCGTCCAGTTGATAAAGGGTAGGTTGAAGTCTCCTGTAATGTGCAGTACAGGGGTGCGTTGAATTCCGTTGATGAACTGTTGGAGGGTAGAGAGGCATTCATCAAACTTGTCAAAAGGAGCTGAAGGGGGCCGGTAAATGCCCGCTATCACGATGTTAGCTTCTTTACTGTAGATGGCGACAAGTTCACAGTAGGAGTTTGAGAAGGACTTTGTTTCTTCTTCTGTGATGGAGTTGTGGAGATAGGTAGCGGCTCCGCCACAAGCTCGACTGGTACGCTCCGCTCGGTAGCCGGTATAACCTGGGATGTGAACCTCCGCATCTAAGTGATACGACTTGAGGTGGGTTTCCGTCAAGGTGAAGAAAGGGGTGTGGATCGGGTTGGAGCTGATAGACTTTCCATCGCTGGTTGGTGATGCCAGGATTCATTCCTTAAATTAAATATTGAAGCTTACGCTTCCAAACGAACCAGTTTAACAATCTAGTTTAAAAGCACAACACTAAGTCGAGAGATGATGTGTAAATAGTTATTATCTATAATATAATAGTATCGTACAAATTTGGATATTTTACCGTTTATTCCATTTATCTGCATCTCTTTTTATCTGTTATCTAATCTATGTGACGATGTTTGTTCTATTATTCAAGTAAATTCATTTTACGTTTTACGTCACGGCAAAGATTTTTGGTAAAAAAATTATATTTTTGAAATTTTTAAAAATTTACTTATCATCTAATTAATTAATCGATTAATTATCTAATCCAAAGGTTGGCGAATAAAAGTTGTTCTCTTTTATATTTTGAACACATCGGTTCAATCTAGAACCTTCTACGACATTCAGAAGTCGTTTTATTAGCGGAGATCCTATGTGGTAAAAAGTGGTAAATAATGGTTTAGTTATTCTTTACGAATTTTACAAGTCCAAAATATTGAAAGTGAAAATTTTCAAATTTTTTATAAGAATTAGTTCAATATACGTGGAATTTAATTGTGAACATTTTTTATGAAAATATATTTTTTAAATATTTGAAAATTTATTAATTATTTAATTAATTAATTAAATAATTTATTTTTGAAAAAGTTGTTAAAGAAAAAGTTGTTCTCCTTTGTTTCCTAAACACACTGCTTTAAACTAGAATCTTCTAAGATATTCAGAACGTGACTTATTTGCGGAAAACCAAAGTGGTAAAAAGGTGGTAAAAAAATGGTAATTGTGGATTTTGCTCAAGTCAGATTTTTTGGGACTTTTCTGGAATGATTCCTGGGACCTGTCCCGACCATATCCCGTTAAAATCGCTTTGTTGCGAATTTTGTCCGACAAAGGCTCAAATAAGGACGGATTTGACTGTACTATAAGTTTATAGTTCATATACGCCTGATATTTGCACGAAATAGACCGATGCGTCCATATTTTCAACTGTAAATTTTTAGGATTTTAAGATTTCGTAAATTTGAACGTTCAAAGATTTTCAACTATCAATTTTGATTTTAATACGATCGAAATAGCGCAAAATTAAATAGTTTACACTAACCCTGTATCTTGAACAAGCTGACTCTCTCGTAACAAGTCATGCTCCCCACAACACATCTCCACTCTTCATACGGTATATACCCACCAAGGTTGGGGAAGTACGCTACCATAGCCTTCATTATCTGGAAGGACATGATTCCAACCACAATTGAAAGGAATTTGAGGGAAGGTTTAGCAGCCACTCTGTTCACTACATCCTCAGTCGAGAGGGAAACGGACATCTTGATTTCTGAAGTGAAGTTTTAGTTAGATCATATTGTTGTTAATGGTTCATTGGTTAGAACACTGCGAATCTTATATATATATTATATATCTTATATATTAAGAGTTGACCTGCTAAGCTTTATGCAATGATGTTAATCAATAATTGTAATACTAATAGGTAATTGTATAAATACGACGAATCAGTCTTTTGACCAGTATGAAGAAATACAAAATTGGCCACGGAATAAGAACTTTAGTCCCCAACAAAAAGTTTTGTCAAAATCGCAAGATATATAAATATTTAACTGTCCCTTGACACCACTTTGGGGTTAAACGGGTTCCTGCTAGTATTCATAACGTAGTTCGATAATCATTTCAGCAGAAGTCAAAAACACAGCGAAGAAATTTGATTTGGAAAGTTAAACTGTAGAAAGTACAAATAACAAATATGATGAAACCAAAGACAACTCTGTTACGCATTCAACCGTTTGCTTAATTATTCTCTGTTGATTCTAGAGACCAAAATCTGACCCCTGCCATGGTTACGAATCACTGTGAGAATGACTGGATAACTTAATAACATTCCATGGCTTCATACTTAATTCGCATTTAATTTGGTTAAAACAGTTATATACTGTAATTGAATGGAAAATTTTACTGATATGAACTCTTACGAATCATCTGATGCCGTAGATCATTGAAAAACTAGTTGGTATAGAAGGTATAGAGACCAAAGTGGCTCACGTGATCCCAATCCCCCGTTAGCCTCTCAAAAACCCCATTAGGGACCAGGTCAGGGATATTATGTAGTATTTTGTAGTATTGTGATGGAAACAGCTCGATATATATGTACTTACATCACCCACCAAATGTAATGTGACCTTTAATAAATCAAATTTCTCGTACAACAAGGGCTGATTGACTAAAACTTTGGAGAAAAAAGACGCCCGGTATATCGAGGTACCAGGTATATAGAGGGTTCACTGTAATAATTTTGATTAATACGAATTAAAATTATTTAATTCTGACTCTGATAACCCAAGCCCTTTCTAATTGCAAGGGAATCATGGGGCCAGACAACTACACAACATGTGCTGCAACAATAATATTGAATTACATTTTACATTTTTATTATAAGTTTGAATTATGTCAACTGTGAAACTTAAATCATTCACCTCATTTCCTCTATACCGCCACTAGACATCAAGGTTCAGTTTAGGAAAATATAAGTTGCACGATTATACGTATACTGTACGATACATTGTTTATATTGTATAGTAAGGAAGTGTTATTTCACTTCCGAGGATTCGTTGCCATTGATTTGAAAAATTTACCATTTCTATGCAGAATTGGCGATAACAACAATTTTCAGTGCTAAGATGAGGAGGATATGCGCAATTTTCAAGTTTTCATAGAGTTAATACTTAATACGATGATAATATGTTATTATTATCACATACTTTATCCCAGGCGTGGAAGGACAAGTTTATAGACGGTTACGTGTCATTAGCTGGCGTGTTCGGGGGAGCTTCCAAAGCTATCAGATCTATCATATCAGGTGCTGTAGAGTTAGAGCAAGTGTTAACGTCACGTACTGATTACTAGTTAAGGCACTCGCTATTTGGGTCATGATATTTTGTCTTGTGCGAGATGACAACTTCCATAATTCTGAACTTTTTATATCTATTAAGGCTTAATAATACAAGAAATTGATTAAATAAATTACCAACTATTTGAAGAACCAACCAAAACTTATCAGGAGAGACAGAAGGAATGCCCCAGATATTTGTTGATCCCCTGACCATGAGAGAATTTGAGAGGACTTCACCCTCAGTATTCTGGCTGATGCCGTCACCTGACCTGTTCGGGGACACTCCTCTTCTATACGCTGACGGCAGGTCTGCCTTTAAAATCGTTCATAATATAATATGTACCTGTGCTTTCTGTTTGAGTTTCGCCTTGTTCTGCACCGTTCAGTGAATACCTGAAATTACTAGATTTGAAATCTTAAAGCCGGAGACTTTCGAAATTCTATTCATAAATTGTCAAGTGTCAACGGATACGGGATACTCGGTCTTATGTCAAAATAATACACACTATTTCGTACCTTCAAGGCTTGATCATGGGTTCATCACTGCACTCTCTTATCTTCATTTTTATTACAAATCTAATAACAAAACTTCACACTCTCTCATAACTTAATCACATGACTTCATCGCAGCGTTACGACCTCTGTTCACTGCATTGTAGTGAACAGAGGGCAGTGACACTGCTAGGTGTCTAAAGTACTCGAGGCGGCTTCGTGGCTGCCACATTTGGCACGTTGTATCTTTTAATAGAAAAGTACAGTTAACTTCATTAAGTTCGTAATTTGCTTAAAAACTTGAACCACTGTCCCCCTGTCCCACAACCAATGGCATCCTGAGAAAATTGCAACTATGAACATATAAGCACCTTATTTTATGATTTTGACCTGTGGTGATTCTCGTTTCAGATGGTAATAATAATCCTCCTTTCAGGAACTACACTGCTCATGATTACCACGATCTACTCTTGGAAAGTAAAGTCCCAAAAGGGGACGAGCTGTATGACTTGGTGAAGGACCTACCTCTGTTTGTGGAGGATATTGGGGTGGATGTTCACTGTATTCACGGCAAGGATCAATCTACTCCTCTCCATTTCAGGTGATATATATAACGTGTTCTTTAGAGACTTTATCTGTAGAATACAGTTTTTGTTTTCTTGTATTTTCTGCTCTTTACCCGATTCACATTACACCATCATATTATTCTGAAACGTAACACTATCTTACTGTCAGGTACGGGGATGACTCTGAGTTCCCTGACACCCAGCCGATTACAGTAAACGGAGACGGGGACGGAACAGTCAATCTCCGCTCCCTGGAGCTCTGTAAGAAGTTCAAGAGACTGAAGAGTTACAAAACGGTGACGGGATTCCTGGCTACGCATCTGGAGATACTGCAGAGAAAGGACGTGATCCAGTTCATTGGTGATCTACTGACGAAGACGAATAGTGAGAGAAGGGGAGAGGAAGACAGAGAGGACGATAAGACTTTAGTGTTTTGAGGATTACGTTGGGGTTGGTGAGGTTTTAGGGATTTGTTTATTTGTAAAGGATTAATGGACTGCTCATTTTGATAAGCAATAATAAAATCATAGATAAAGGTTATTGGAGATCCTCCAGGGTGCATAGTATTAAACTATCTGTGATGAAGTTCTGCTAATGTGTTTGATTAATATTTGAGATATTTTGTAAATTTTGTTGATGATCCGTTTGAAGAAGATTTGTTTTCTAAATTATTTATTTTTGTTTTTCAGAAATTTGTTTGATATAAGTAGTTTTGATGATTACATGATTTTTTTGAAACTTAGATTATCCCCCTTGTCGCGTCGTAAGCTGAGCAAATTCCAAAACTTATTGTGACCTTTTAGTCGGTTGAGTGGCCGATCGGTGACGATAAAGCAATAGTTTGGGATTGCACTGCAACTGGAATAAATCGTTCTAGATACTGAAAATTTTTGTTAGATTTGTACGTTTTGCTGTTCTGATATTCGGTAGAAACTTAAAATTGTTAGGCGCTTTTGCTGAGGATTCTTATCACATGATTAAGTGTCAAATATCTGTAGCCAGTGTTATACTGTGTATTCTAGGTCTTATACAAGTACCAAAACAGTTAATGTTAAGTAAAAGGTTGGAACTAATTTATTGCTATTCAGCTATTTTTCACAGTTCATAGTTAAACAGTTTGATAATTTTTGTAGAGAATCTTATACTTTTCATACCTACTTTTAGATAATCTGATAATTACAGTTCCTATTTTTATGCAGAAATTAAAATAACTGTATTTCAAACTCTTTCGTTTAATTATCTTAAAAGGTGGGTGACTCCCAGAATACATTTGACCACGTGACTAGCACTTGTATGCCGTTACAATAGCATGAGTCAGTTCTCCTCCATTTCAAATCAGGCGATTAACTGCTGGCATCAGTGCTTAAAATACCATGGCACCATCATAATTTAGTAAAGTGTTATATTTCTATAGAATTCACCCATGTCGAATTCAAAACATTATGTATATTACGTATGTCATGAGCTTACTGAAGTTCTCCCTAAAATGTAGGTGATATAATGTTATCCCGAAAACACTGTATTTTGCTCACAAACCTCCAAATAACCAGCCAACTTGAAAACTTGCATGTAGTATACTGTATAGCTCCCCAAAAGAGAGCGGTGAGTACGGGATTAGCTTGTACAATGCATTGCTGGCAGTTCGCCAGAAGCTTGGAACCATGTAACAAGGAACATAATGTGGAACATTTTTTTGTGCACGTCTCAACCAACAGATTTACGCTGGATAGTCCGAATATTCCGTAGAAATCCTTTCGTTTTAAGCAAAAAATTTGTTGAAATAACGGAAATAATGACATTTAATTGCTGCCTGCTTCATAGTTCATTCATCACAGTATCTGTCATCGGTGAAGTTCAAAATGTACGGAAAAGATGAATTTGTTATACCGTCATGATAACCCTATTGATAACCCTATGACTATTGACTATTGACTATTGACTATTGACTATTGACTATTGACCGTCATGGTAACCCTATTGACTATTCATGAGATGGACAGTTGACATGATGGTTTCCCGACGCGATACATGGAATGTGGCACATGGACCGAGCATGAATCAAACACAATTCTGACAGGTCTACATAAATAATTAGAGTCGGCGGCAAGACTATTTTCAGTGGATATTATCGCGCGTCCATGCTTGTGCGCGTCGCGTCGTACGCGCCACGGCTGTTCAAAAGGGCGATTTTTGCGATTTTAATCAGATAGGATTACCCTAGGATTTATCCTAGCGCGCCCGAGACATCTCGGATTTTATCAATCCTAACGCCGATCCGGTTCCCCCAGGATACCTCCGATGAATTCCTATCGCCGAGCGGCGATAGGATGTGTAAGTTCCGAGAGGCGATAGGATTTGCTCTCGGACCCGATAGG